TACAATGTCCAAGATTTCACTCTTACAGAACAGACCTGATGGAAGCTTTAAAAAGAATCAAAATAAACAATCCTAATATAGACTTATTACTTACAGGTGCTGATCTTCCACCAATAAAGAAGTACTACATTTTAAGACACACAAAAATATTCCTAAAGAAAACGAAACTAATAGATATAATATAAAAGAAAAAAAAAAAAAAAAAAAAAAAAAAAAGAAGAAAGAAAGAAAAAAGATCCAGGGGATATATACTAGATAATAGTCTAAAACCCTATAAAAGAAGAAAGAAGAAGAAGAAGAAGAATTGGCGACTGAAGAGGAGACGTGTAAGAGCGAAACTGATAGAAATAATATAAAGAAAAGAAAAAAAAAGAAAGAAGGAAGAAAATAGATCCAGGGGATATAGACTAGACAATAGTTCTAAAACCCTATAAAAGAAGAAAGAAAAAGAAGAAGAAAATAAAAATCAACAATCCTAATGTAAAACAACTGATTACAGGAGAAGATTTACCAGAAGATCAGAAGTACTACATATTAAGACACACAAAAATATTCCTACTAAAAACAAAAATCATAGACATAATATAAAAAGAAAGAAGAATTAAGAAAAGGATTCAGGGGATATAGACAAAAAGAGTCTAAAACCCTATAAAAGAAGAAAGAAGAAGAACAATAATTAAGTAAATTACCTGTCTTTGGCCTTCGGAAATCTATGAAAATGATGGAAAGGATGTGAATCTTTCCGCCTTTTACAGAGAACACATGGATGGGATTTTCCGACCATCATGAAATGCGCGCTCTAAAATTCGTCTGCTGCTGTCACTTGTTTTTTCAATGTAAACACATGACGTCATTGACGAGCGATTGTAACGCCATCTTTTAATCGGACTATGTTATGACGTCATGGACTACTTTAAGGTCCCAGTTAGTATTATTTCACCCTTTTCTTGGACTCCCGTCTTATTAATAGTCTTTGCTTCGAACGCTTTGCAAATATACCATACAAAATGTTAATAGAATATAAAGCACAAACTTCAGTAAATTACACGCCGCCGCCAATTTAAACAATGGAACGAATTTGGGCCATTTTTACTTAGTTCAGGGCTGAATGGGATATATATATATATATATATATATATATATATATATATATATATATACATATATATATATATATATATATATATATATATATATATATACATATATATATATATATATATATATATATATATATATATAGTCATATATAATTATGTTATACATATGTATATTATATTGATATATATTAATATTATATATATTTATAAATATATAGATCTATATCTATATCTATCTATCTATCTATCTATATATATAAATATATATAACATAAATATATATATATATATACATATATATACATATATATATATATATATATATATATATATATATATATATGTATATATATGTATATATAGTCATATATAATTATGTTATACATATGTAAGGAAGGGAGGAAGGGCGGGAGAAAGAAAGGAAGGGAGGAAGGGAGGGAGAGAAAAAGGAGGGGAGGATGGGTGGGAGAGAGGAAAGAAGGGAGGAAGGGAGGGAGAGAGGAAGGAGGGAAGGGAGGGAGAGAGAAAGGAAGGGAGGAAGGGTGGGAGAGAGGAAAGAAGGGAGGAAGGGAGGGAGAGGAAGGAAGGGAGGGGAGAGAGGGAGGATGGGAGTGAGAGAGGGAGGAAGGAAGAGAGGGAGGGAGAGAAAGGAGGAAGGGAGGGAGAGAAAGGAAGGGAAGAAGGGAGAGTGAAAGGAAGGGAATAAGGGAGGAATGAAGGGAGAGAAGAAGGGAGGAAGGGGGAGAGAGAGAAAGGGAGGGAGAGAGGAAGGGGAGATAGGAAGGAAGGGAGGGAGAGAAGAAGGGAGGGAGAGAAAGGAAGGGAGGGAGGGTGAGAGGAAGGAAGGGAGGAAGGGAGGGAGAGAGGAAGGGAAGAAGGGAGGAAGGAAGGGAGGGAGAGAAAGGAAGGGAGGAAGGAAGGAAGGGAGAGAGGAAGAAAGGGAGGAAGGGAGAGAGGAAGGAAGGGAGGGAGAAAGAAAGGGAGGAAGGAAGGGAGGGAGAGAGGAAGGAAGGGAGGGAGAAAGGAAGGGAGGGAGGGTGAGAGGAAGGAAGGAAGGGAGGAAGGGAGGGAGAGAGGAAGGGAAGAAGGGAGGAAGGAAGGGAGGGAGAGAAAGGAAGGGAGGGAGGGTGAGAGGAAGAAAGGGAGGAAGGAAGGAAGGGAGGAAGGGAGAGAGGAAGGAAGGGAGGGAGAAAGAAAGGGAGGAAGGAAGGGAGGGAGAGAGGAAGGAAGGGAGGGAGAAAGGAAGGGAGGGAGGGTGAGAGGAAGAAAGGGAGGAAGGAAGGGAGGGAGAAAGAAAGGGAGGAAGGGAGAGAGGAAGAAAGGGAGGAAGGAATGAACCGAAGGCATTACAAGGTACTGCAGCCAGCCGTCCCTCCCTTGGCACCACTGCAGGAGGTATTCCGACGCCCAGCGGTGCGCCGTTTCCCGCCACGTCTTCGGCAGGAGGTGGAGCAGGAGCGCCGCGACCCACGACAAGACGTAGGACGCTACCGCGACCATCGCGAAGAGCACGTGCTGCCTGGTAGGACAAAAATTGCCCATTGGTCTTAGCCTGAGCATCATCTTCTCCGGGAATTCGCGTTTAGAAACCGTCGCTGGGAGAAAGATGAACTGAACCGGCGCGGCGCGGCCTTTCCCGCGCTTAAATACTCGAGATGCGACCAATCACGTGACGCGATACACGAGGGAGCGAAAGCCAACCAATCACGCGCCGTGACGGAGAAAAGGCCGACCAATCACGCGCCGTGACGGAGAAAAGGCCGACCAATCACGAGGAGGTATATATATATATATATATATATATATATATATATATATATATATATGTATATACATATATATATATATATATATATATATATATATATATATATACTACCTCCTCTTATATATGCCTTGACCTCCTCTTCCTTTGTCCTCCGTCCCTGCTCACGCCTCCTTTGTCTAACTAAAAGGCACATTCGAGTATGAGAAAAGGTCAAAAGTTATTTTCTAATTCAGTGAATTCTTGAAGGGAATTTGATTTTTTTTGTTCTTTTCATTGTTCTGTTTTCTTTTTATTTGTGAAGAAAAAAAGTGTCTGGTCCGTTTTTTGTGTCTTATTTTTCTCTCTCTTTTGAATGTTTGATTACGAATATTTGCATTGTTATCCTGGACGTTAGTTCCATGTTACTATATTTTTAGGATGATTCCTGTTCATGACCTTCAAGTCGACAATTCGAAATTTATTAAGGATGATGTTGATTAGTTTATAATACAGACACAATAATACACACAAAACAAACACACACACGAAAGCTCACATGTATACATACAGAGTATTTATGTGCGTATGTGTTTGTATGTAAATACATAAATACTTTAACACAAATACACACACAAATATGCACACACACACGCACACACATACAAACATGCACACATACGCACACGTATATATGTATTTATATACATACATATATATATATATATATATATATATATATATATATATATATATATATATATATATATATATACAAGAGGAAGATGAAAGTAAAGACAAAAAGAAGAAAGAGAAGGAGAAGGGGAAGACAAAGGTGAAGGAGAAGGAGATGGAGAAGGAGAAGAAGAAGAAGAAGGAGAAGGAGGAGGAGGGAGGGATAAAGAGAGAGAGAGAAAAAGAGAGAGAGAGAAAAAGAGAGAGAGAGAGAGAGAGAGAGAGAGAAACACCAAAAACTGTTTAGTTTGAACTAAATAATTTAAAAACAATTGATGTCTATTTTCAGTATTTTCAGTAAGTTCATAAATACACATGCAATTTTCCTGTTTATTGTTAAATAAAGTAAGAATCCTCTGAAATGCAAAAAATCTCTATTGCACTATAATTAAAAAACTGTTCCTTCTAATGCCCCCTCTTAAAACTCATAACCTGTTCCACAAACGACAAGAGAAGTTGAATACCTGAACTACGAGTCACTTTGATGAAACTTTGAATTGTATCATTTTCGTCAACATGTTTTTCTCCGACATGGCGAAAAAAAAGTATAATCATCCATACTGATTAATAAACCAAACGATTGGAGATCAGTAAATCAGTTGAAAGTGTTCTCACCTGCCCTAATTACAAGAGGTTGAGATTGAGTTGCTTTCAAGGTATTTGTTATACATATTACAATGTTCATCCCTTCTTTAATAGCCAATAATTATAATGAAACATTTATCATTCTTTTGACATTTTCACTTCATATCTTTCTCTATCTTACTTTGACTGATCAGAGTGAGTGTAAAATCAAAGTATGCTCATACAAGATAATACCATTGAATCATATTTCAGTGCTTTGCTTTCAAATACATACGGAATACATGTTACCCTATCATTCAGATTGTAATTATATTTGTTTCTATTTGTGTCTGGCTGAGCTAGAGACTAAAACTTCAGTCTTTTAATACCAAGTTTAAATAATATCTTGTGAAGTCACCATAATAAAATATTTTAAGACACATTTTCTTTCTCAACACCCTTTTATAATATATTATTCCTGCAGTCTGTGTAAAAGGATAATCATAGATTGTTCTTGCAAGACCATGTAATTTAAAACATTAATTCAACAATATATACATTTTTATACAATACATACACATAATAATTACAGCCTGTTAAAGATAGCACCACTGTTTTTTCTCCTTCTTCTTCTTTTTGTAGTGGCATGCATATATTACAACATATTATAATACAGGTCCTCAACTGATAACAATACCAATATTTCATTATAACCAAATTTCTCAATGTTCTGATACACATATAAAATACTGAAAATTTAAAACATTAAAAAATCCACTCTCTTCTATGAGTATTCTACAATACAGACAATCACATCAAAAGTTAAAAGTAATTTTCATAGCTGTCCAATATTTCTTACATGGTTATCACATATTTATACAGTGCTCGATCTTGTGCTTTTTCACCACCTACAAACATTATGTAAACCAAGCATCCAAAACTCTACAGACGCAAGTAAATATCTAAGACACTGAAAAAAAAAACATAAGTAAATTGGACAAGTTCTGCCTGAGTTTTCTTACCAATATCTAATATGCCCTGTTATTCAGGTGCCTAAACATAAAAGAGGAAATAATAAAACTTGGGTGTATACTTTTACTCTTACTTCAACTAAAGCATAACCCATTGGCAACAGGTACATGCACAGTCAATTGTAGTTTTCTTTAATTTGTTTTGTTTACACACAGATAGTTTCAATAACACATAGGAGTAAACTGTTAGGCCTGATTACCCCATTCTTTGATTGGGGGGATCATTAACATTATGACTACATTATTAACAATAATAATAGTAATAAAATTCTTTTCTGTGAATTCTAGGAATGGGGTAACTGGAGAGGTTAAGTAGGCCTATTAACCCATTCGCGCCGGGTAAAAATGAACAAAAAATGGGGGAAATGCTGTGTTCATTTTTTATATTTTTTTATGAAATTTCTCTACACTTTCATTTGGCAGAAAAATGTATTTTTACTAGTGCTATGAATATCGATGGTTATTTTTATTTTAAACATTATAATTACTCTAATGTTATAAACATTAGTAACAGGAAAATAAGATAACGCAAAATAATTTTGTAAATTAAAGAAAAGGGTAAACAGACGAGACAGGCAGTACAAGTGCAAGTGGAGCCATCTATGTTTGTAAACAATCAAACAAGTAAACTCAAAGTGGGCCCGTCACGTATACGTGATGCCCGGCGCGAATGGGTTAATTGACTTTTGTGAGTATTTACTTCTGCTTCCATCATTGTGTAAACAAAATTAATAAACAAACCACAGTTAATAATACATGTAAATAACCAAAGTTTTATTTGACTGATAACCTGTGAAACACTTTACCTGCCAGCTTTGATGAAACAAAAAAAAAAAAAATCCACAATTAATATAATCTACTAACTGGGTTCTTCCTGAAATCCAAGTAATATGATGAAGCAACTTGCAATTCAAAAGCTATCACTTGAATTCTCATTATAACTGGAATGAATCATAACTGCTATTGCTCTCAACATTTGCTATTTATAAATATTTAAAGCACATTAGCAGATACACAAATATATTGCACCTTCATGTCACTCTCACCTTTTCAACTTTAAGAGTGTAGTCATACATTTCTAAAAAATTAATAAATACATATATAAAAAAAAAATACTAATCGCAAGATCCATCTTTCCAACCATCACGCCATCTCTGATCAACTAAGCTGCAGTCAAACAATGGTTTCTCAAGTTTCCTGTTGACTTCATTATGGGCTTCACAAAACCAGCGAGACAGTCCTTTCTGTGAAGAAACATCTGGTGTGTTCTTCTTCAACCTGTGAAAAGGAAAGAAATGGAATTAAATACAGTGATATAAAATGGACAGGACCACAATCAAAATTTCAAAAGAAAAACAAAATTAATGATATATAAAACTCGGCAAATTCCTCTCACAGGAACGCTCTCAAAGTCTGAAATTTCTGAATAGATTTGCAACAGAACACTGTAACTAATCCTGCCTAGTAATACTATCAACTGAAAGATTACAATGTAAATTTTAATACTGTTACTGAAAATTTTCAAAAATTGTATACAGGCAATTTTAAATTAATAATTTAAAGGCATTACTTCAGTTATACAATATATTTCCTTAAAGTGGGGGGTAAAGGATTCAATAATGGACTAGTGGAAAGGTCTGGGGCAGTAATATTTGCCATGCCCTGGTCACTCACAAACCATGATCTTCCACTCACAAGGTAAGATAACATAGGGGACAAGGAACAAAAAGAAATAGAAAATTAATAACAATAATAAACAAATCGAAAATATATCAAGTTACAAATTATGATATTTATTTCCTGTTTTCCTTAACTAAGAATTTTACAAAAGCTATACACAGTATGGGTTATAATCTCACCAGTCACTCTGTTTTCAAGTATATCATAAAAATTGAAAGCTCTTTGTGTAAAATCTCAAATATAATCTTTTCAAACAATAACTCAAACATCTCATTTTCAGATATAGAATTATTTTTTTCAATTACCTCTTTCTTGTACAAGTATCATTAAAGCTTGTATAAGAAACAGGCTATATGGGAAACTAAAGACAATCACATAATAAAACATGTAAGCTTCCATATCGTGACCTGTACTTATGTAAATCCACCAAACTGTGAAGTATCCTTACCATTCTCTGAAATCCTCTGCACATGGCTGGCAAGGATAGAATTTCGAGAATATTGTTATAAAGGTAGACATGTCCTTCTGTTGGTCAGCAGAAGGCTTCTCTGGATAGTACGCTGCCATGCTGTGTAAGAGCCTCCATGACCCTCGCCCAAGTGACAAACTATCTGCAGGACATCCATATTTGGCAGCTTTCCCTGTTAGGACAAAATATTACATTCTCAATGTCTACAAAAGTTAAGAATAAAAAAATCGTTGAAGTATAATCTTAAATCTAAAATATGTTAAAATAGATACTGTGCTCAAGTACTAACAGTGACCAAAGGTAAAATAGCACTGCATTTCATTTTTTCTTTAGTATTGGTACTGATACCTTTAGCCTCCTCTGCTAATGTAGAAGTGGAGCCTGAACTATGTTACCCAAATTAAAATTATTTTGAAAAAAAAAATTAAATGAAAATTAATAATGACTTTCCAAAGCAAGAGCTAATTGCGTGTCAGTGTTTTATCTAGATCTGAATTAAATTATATGTAATTCTAATGACAGCACGGCATCAGAAAGTGTCAACCAGAACTTTTGTTCTGTGAATATATTCCATTTCATTTATACTTTTCTACATTTATCAATATTAATTGTTCAGGAAATATAATTAGGAAAAAGTGATTCAGCTTGATTCAAATGTGAACAAAGCATATACTATCATCAAGTCACGTGTTAACACAATGCCGACAAGCATGGCACGTACGTACTTGCCATGCCCGCTACGTTACGCTATCTTATTTTGCTGTTGCTAATGTTTATAACATTATAGTACTTATAATGTTTAAAATAAAAATGAAACCATCGATATTCATAGCACTGGTACAAAATACGTCTTTTGCGCCAATTCAAGGAAAGGTGAAATCAGGTAAGGTCACAAGATCTACTAATTGACTCTTTTGTGGCTAAGCACTAGCAGAGCCATCTATGTACAGAGACATTTCACAAAAATGTAAAAAATGAGCACAGCAATTTCCCCATTTTTTACTCCTTTTCCCTGGCGGCATTGGGTTAAAGATTAACCAAATTGGATACACAATGCTTTCTGTTTGCTTAACAGCAGCAATCACAAAACCTAAGAGTCCTCATAGTCAGACTTTCATGAATAGAAAAAAAAAAAAAAAAAATGATAACAGTAATTTGTTTCTAATATTCAACTAGTTTTATTCCTAAAGGTAAACATTTCTGGGAGGACATTTGTTCAATTACAGGGGTTTAATAAGTTGGGTAGAATATTTTCCTGGTATTCAATAATCATCAAATATAAATAAAGCACTACTACCATGAATATAGAAGACATCAGTAACAAATTTTAACTGAAACATCATCTACCTTTTCTTTAAATAACAATAATTAGCATGAAAAACAAAAACCATCCTATACAAAATACAAGTCAAAGGCAATGTTGAGACAAAAAGCTTGCATAAACTGATAATCATACTTTCACTCCTTATACAGAGCTATTACTATTACTCTTACTATGTACCTGTTAGAGGAACATCCGTGTCATCTGGATCAACTGCAGCTGACTTTACATTTTCATTCAAAATAGATCCTGACGCTGAATTAGACGTGTTTGTGTTATCCTCTTTACTGTCATGTGATGAACTGTTTTTCTCTTCTCCTTCCTGAAAAAATTCAAGGACAAAAATGATTTTTTTTTCTTGAAATTGGACACAATCAGTATACAAAAGTAAAAGAAAAGCAGAAACAAACCTGATGCATACATATGTGGAAAGAAAAATATGTATCACCTTTCAGAAAACAAATACATTAATATATAAATAAATCAAATCCATTTCATCTGGCTTTTAAAACTAGACACCCTCTAAACAATAAAAATACTGTGTAGGGGGTACTAAAAATAATAAGGATAAATGGGTAAGTGACATATTAACTAACCTGTTCATGAGTTTGTGTGTGTTCTGAGGTGTTCAATCATGTTAAAACTAGTCAAACTTTTTTTCTGACGATTTTGTGTCTCGTGTTCGAGTCTTGGTAAGTGTGTGTATAGTGAACTACCAAATTTGCCTTTCTAGGTAATTTAGGTTTCTTATAAGCATATCCCAATCACAACAGAGCCCCTAATGCAATACCAAAACATGTGTCAGGCAGCACACAGAGCCAGAAGCAATTACTCTGTTCCCTATATTCTAGCCTATGGTATATATGATTTTTGAGGTAATGAGACTAGAAATAGACTTTAAGCTTACTACGGAGGGGATATTTCTCCTTAACTAATGCAGCCAAGGCCAAACAAGTGCACAACTTAGAACTGGCTCAACCACACAAAACACAAAGACATTATCTCTGTGTTAGAGGTACAATGTGATAGGATTTCATCCAGCATGGCTAGGATATAGCAAAAGGTAAATAATAAATGGCATTATTTGATAAATCAGATCCAAGATACTTTTCTTCTGTTACATAGCTGTCACATTTTAAAAACAATGAAGTTACAAAACAAAGACCCCTAGTAGTAGTATCACCTAGGTCGATGCACTTTTGGTGCTTCTGCAAAGGCCAACAAATCATCCCAAATATTCTGGTAGGTCAGAGCTTGAATGATACTACACACAGTGGTGATAATCATTATTTTGAAATATATGTCATGCTTTTAAATGTTTAAAGAACTTTGTCACTGACAAAATATGTTTAAGAAGACGGTAAATCTTTACAGTACAGACACACCCTTAGAGACTACTGCCCTCTCAGTCCCCTCCAAATGATGCCCCTGCTTCATGGTACAGATTCAATGGATTCTTGTACAAGTGTGTATATATGTGAGAAATAGTAAATATATCTTATCTGATACATATAACAAAAATGTTTATGCAAAAAGGTAATTATAAAATTATTACAAATTCTATATCATGGAATCAGCAACAACAGCATAACTGTTGACACATATTTTCATTACATAAAAACAGAAAGATAGCACTATTAACATGGAGAACAGACCTAATGTAATTTTTATTAATTGCACTTCCTTACTGATACTAAGAGCTGTTCCTACTGGTGGTACTGTGCTTTTAGTAAGACTTAACCAAACATAATGCCTGACAGTGATATAGGCATCATATGATCATTACTTATAGGTTTAATCTTTACGGTATGCACGCATTAAGTTCAAAAAGAAAAAGTTGCCAACATGAACAGTAATAACACAAATAAAGGAAAAAGATTGCTTAAGGCACCATTAACAGCATAAGTCAGTGCCCAAGTTTCAGCTTTCTATTGGCAACTTAGATTATTGCCATGCATACCGAGGTTAAGACAAAGTTTGTCTAGGGATGTTGGCGAATCCTTCAACCTCCCCTCGGGCAGTGCCCAAAGGGGACACCCAGTCACGGCAATTTAGAATGATATTCGTGATATGGATATAGGGACTTAATCTCTAGCGAATGCATCCATACAGAGAAGAATTACTGCTTTTAGTTTTGATGAATGCTAGTTCCTTTATTAATCTTTTACAGTATAGACGCACTCACTAGAGATAAAGTCCTGTAATCCACATCACAAAATCTATTCAATAATCTAAGTTGCCATGACTATACATATCCTTCAGGCACTTCCCAAGGAGAGGGTTGATAAGGGGTTCTACCTCCCAACACCCCTGAGAAATACTATCTTCACCTCTGTATGCACAGCAAGAAAGAGCCAAAACTCAGAAACACGAGTGGACTTAGGCTGTGAGCAGCACTTTCTGCAATATTTCTCTTCTACTGATGATTTTACTTTTGTCTTCAGATTAGGCCTTGTACAAAAAACTGGAACTTTACAAGAATATCAACTTTAATTTGCCTGAGCTTAGTGCATTCATACCATACAGACTACCCATTTTTTTAATCATATCTACTAATCTTATGCTTCTGACCAAACAGGAAACTTATATTTTATACTTTTGAGGAGGTTTCTTTGAAAAATTTGCACATCTCCAACTAATAATATTACATATATACTATATATATCTAATAGAGAAACAGAGATAATAAGTGAGATGCAGATCAAGGAGTGACTCTAATTGAGTAAATTAAGGAAACCAATGAGACAGAGAAAAATGCAATGGTCATAACATAAACCGACAATTAGCTATTTGTAAAAATATAAAGTAAGCCCACAATTACTTATCAACAATCCAAGATAAAGTACATGAACGAGATGTGGAAGCACCCGATGCCGGGACTGTTCAATGCTCTCTCTTGCCATGTGAATACATGGACGGTTTCCTGTGCAGGGGTTGGAAGGCCCCCCAGGAGGGAAGTTGCAGGGGGCTTAGCCCTCTGTAGTAGACAATATAGTGATTGATTCAGTACTGTGATTACAGAAGAGTTCAAGAATTTCACACTCCACATGCATGGCCACAACACCCAGAAATATACTCAACAGACATCACATCACAATACCATAAACATAGCCATAGCCAATATTTTAAATGGTTTTGGCACTGAAGGATTGTATGACATTCGCTCTTCAAGTTTCTACAAAGCCTGCACACTCTAAAATATCAACACACCTGTACATCTATGTACGCTTCAAAAAAAAAAGCACAGACCCTTCAATGTGTGGAGTGAAAGATGAAAACTTAGACCCCCTCTGTAAATATTAGCATAGCCAGTACTGGGCCCTTAACCTTGAACACACGCTAAATGAAGACTCAACCACATAATATAGTAACAAGCTAATCCAGTCCTCCCACCAACCCCAACCCCTCATCCTCCCCAAACCCACCGTCAAGAAGCCCCCAACGCCTGAGTCACCCCAGACCCACTGTCAAGAAGCCCCCAACCCTCGAGTCACCCCAAACCCACCATCAAGAAACCCCCAACCTCCAAGTCACCCCAAACCCACCGGCAAGAAGCCCCCCAACCCCCTAGTCACCCCAAACCCACCGGCAAGAAGCCCCCAACCCCCGATTCACCCCAAACCCACCGGCAAGAAGCCCCCAATGCCTGAGTCACCCCAGACCCACTGTCAAGAAGCCCCCAACCCCGAGTCACCCCAAACCCACCGGCAAGAAGCCCCCAACCCCCGATTCACCCCAAACCCACCGGCAAGAAGCCCCCAATGCCTGAGTCACCCCAGACCCACTGTCAAGAAGCCCCCAACCCCGAGTCACCCCAAACCCACCGGCAAGAAGCCCCCAACCCCGAGTCACCCCA